TTACAACCATTTTGTTAGACAAATCAGAAATGTAAACCCTGTCAGTAACTTAGTTTTACCTGATATGCAACATTAATTGGTGAAGATAAAAATTCAAGATTCATCTGGGTTCAGTAGTTGAATACTTCGATTTATACACCATTGTTTTGCAAAGGGCAATGATCAATTTTGAGCACCAACAAACATATTATTCTTTGAACACTAGGTGTTATGAGTAGTTAAACAGTTCCTTTTTTTAATCAGGTAAACATGTCTACTATCGGACTTCCTCCGACCTGTATGGTAAAAACTGCTCCTCAGACCCTAAGAAAGAGCGTCTTCATCAAGAGCCCAGCGTCTCTGGGATCTGTAAGGAGCATTTCTAAGGGCTTTGGATTGAAAGCTAGCTCTGGCTTTAGAGCATCAGCATCAGCAGTTTACAAGGTCAAGTTGGTTTGTCCAGAGGGTGTTGAGCATGAATTCGAGGCATCTTCAGATACTTACATACTCGATGCAGCTGAAAATGCTGGAGTCGAACTCCCTTATTCTTGCAGGGCAGGTGCATGCTCAACATGTGCCGGGAAGATTGTATCAGGATCTGTTGATCAATCCGATGGATCTTTTCTGGATGATAATCAAATGGAGGAGGGCTATGTGCTCACATGTGTTTCTTACCCAACCTCAGATTGTGTGATTCATACTCACAAGGAATCTGATCTTTACTAGTTATTTATATCTCAAATTATGTGTATGTTTTAAGTTGAAGCAGTTGGAAAATTGTTCTGTTCTTGAGAATGGTCAGGTGTAGAGTTCAATCAGGAACCTATTGTGTTTGAATGATGTTCATGTAATGAATGGTTATTATATTTCACTTTGTAAAAATGTTAGCCGCACCTGGTGTTTATATCAAACTATACTAATTTATCATAGTTTAAATCATAAAATAAGATGAAGATGTTTATTGATTAAGAGATGCTCTCTGTTTCAATTTAAGGATCCATTTGACCATGAATAATATCTACCAACAATAATAATATTTTTATAAAGAACAACTAGACAGACATGTGTCGTAAATGAGATAGTTTTGCGTAAACAAATTAAATAATATTTATGTTTGTGAGATTAATGGTTACGTATGAAATAAATGGTTGGGAGATATAATGGTGTTTTTTTTTTTTATATAAAATATAAATTTGTGAGTCAATTTTTGAGAAATGTGAAATTATGCTATGAAGTTCTCGAATCGAATCTAGCTTTTTGAAGAATTTGATATTTTGATGTTGTATGATATTAAATGTACCTCTATATAAATGAAGTGATATGATCAGAATAGAAGTGTTAAAATATTCAAGCATTGTAGCAAATCAATGAAATTAAACTTGAAGAAAACAAAGAGACACGAAACATACTTTAAACTGAAGAGAAAACTGTAGGTATTATTTTTGAGACACAAAAGAGTAATTGTTGGTGATGATCTGAAATCAAGTACTATTGTATTTGCTTAGACGCACTTTCCTTTCCATGCGATATCTTTTAAGATCTCTAGTACATGTCCGGCGAATAAAATTGGTAACACAGGGTATTGGTATCCACCTTGATCCTGCAACTTGTGTAAGCTTGGAAAAAATAAAAAATCCATGAACTCCGAATAGTGCAGCAAATGAACATGCAGCCGCGATAATCCACTGGCCGTTGTCATTTGGTGATATGAGCATAACAGACATTGAATAGGTGACCATGAGAAACAGAAGTGACCATAGCAACAATGCAGTGGTTTCAACATGGAAGGGCAGCAGCGTAAAAGTGAGAGCGACAGCAAGAGCAAAAGTAATCGAATTCATCATTAAAAATGGGTAAAAAAGACCTTTTTTTGGGCCCCTTCTGATTGGAAATGAATGTCTGTGGATTGAGGAATTGGTTGTGTTGGCAGGCATAACCAGAGACGTATTATTGTTATTTGTGTCGTCGTCATTCCTTTCCCAACCGCCACCTGGAGGACTGAGAACAGCTTGAAAACTAGCCGTTACAAGTAAAATAGTAACTACCAGGTATGCATTTCGCACATCCTCTGTTAATCCTTTACGCGAATCCACAATTACTGCTGCTTGTGATCGGATTACGTTGGCGAGGTCAATGAGACGTGGAATTTCTTGAAGAAGATCCGCCATTTTAAAGTTCTTGGGAAGGTCTGATGTCTTCATGGCACCAACTTCATGCAATATTTTCTGAATATTCACATATTCTTGGTTCAAATCAACACTGAAAGCTGAATGAGTCGGTGAACATGTTATTCGCTCCTCAACAATAGCAAGAGCTGTCATATCACACCGATTCCTAATATCAAGATTCACTAGTTCCTTTGCTAAAATCTTTACAACCTGCAGATAATTATCATAAACCAGTAGTTAATAAACTCAAATCATCTAGTAAGCAAAAATGAATATTAATGTCATAAAATATATATACTGATGACTTGAAGAAACATACCTCAACTTGACCTGTTTCTGCAGCAATGTGCAACACTGTGGATCCCTTGTTATCTTTCCAGTCCAATATTTTTTTGTTGCCAGTCCGGTAGAGCCAACCCATTAGAACTTTAAAAGCCGGAAACTTGTTTCTTAACACAGCGAGATGCACAGCTGTTTCTCCTCGAATGGTCACTTCCTTGATGGCGGTGGGGCAAGCTAGGAGAAACTCGCTGAGAAGATCCACATTGTCAGTTTGAGCAGCTACATAATGCAGCGGCGTTATCCTCTCCCTGCTTCTGACTTGAATGAGTTTAGGATCATATCTTATGAGCAGCTTCACAGTGTCTTCCTGTTCATTACTCAGTGCTAGATGCAGAGGGCTATTCCCCTGGGGTCCAGCTTCCTTCCGAAAGAAGGCATTAAGCTCAACATTTCAATGGCAAAATCAGTCTGCCCAAAAGATGCAGCTGTGTGCAAAGGGGTTTCTACAAATTCTAACGCGTCAATCTGTTAAAGAATTGATGGGTTATCTTCAATGATTTTGTAGAAGGCATCAATATCCCCAGTTTGAGCTGCTCGCTTCATCTCCTCACCCATTTCTCAACAACCTATCAAACAAGTCGTACTCAATAAAATTAGTGGCCTAAATTCAATTTTATTTTTTCCTGTTACATGTAATTTAAAAGAAAATAAAATAAAATAAAACTATAAATCTATTATAGCTAGGAGACCTCATCCTTTTAACTATAGGTCAAAAATCTCACTTTCCTCCTTAAAGCTCTTGCTTTAGTGGCTTGACCCTCTACCCAGCTCTGGTCACTCCATTTATTTTACAAAAATAAAAACTAAAAATAGGAAGCAGTATGGAAAGTGAATATGTGTGTAAATTGTAATCGAGAGAGTAAGACAAAGAGAGACCTTTTTAAATGATAATGGATCTTCACTCTTCACTCTTCAGTGGGTTGTGATTAAACAACTGGCTGACTAAGTCTATTAAAAAACTAATTGGGAGACTTGTGTCGGGGGGAAAAGTATCAACAATACTAGTACTGCTGTCTTCAAATATTTATTATATTCTATAAGCAAGAAGAAAATACTAGTAATATATTTCATAATTTAGATAAACGTTATAGGGAATATGGTACAGGCGTAGGGGAAAGACCGTAACAGAGAGAAGAATAAAGGAGGAAAAAAAAAGCAGCAAGAGATGTTGTTACTCCAAGAATTTGGTGTTCGGTTACACGAGGACCAGAGAGAGTAATTTCTTTATAAAATATACGTTAACACATTAAAAGAAATAGATATTTCTAAAAATAAATTCACGCTGTAATTTTCTTGACCACTATTAGTAAAGAGAAGTTAATCTTAAATATGATACTAGACCGTTCTAATTTATTTGTATTACTTTTATTTTAATTCATTTTTTCAATAAATTTTTGATTCTACCTTTTTACGTGACATGTTTAAAATCATAAGATTAAAAAATGGGTTGAATTGGTTTATTTTAAGCAGGAAAAGGATTAAAAAAAAAGGTCCTTGAATTGTGCAAAATTGAACCAAAATAATGCACTCAGTTAATAGTTTGGTCTAAAAATACTCTTGAACTATTGATGGCAGTGACATTTTAGACCAAACTATAAAATGAGAGCATTTTGATCATTTTTAACCCTTCCGTATTTTAAGTGAGTAAAATAACTTTTAAACATTTTTTTAGTGTTTAGGTAAATTGAAAAAAATGCTTCTAAGTTATAAGCACTTGATTTCTACAAATTTTTAATTTAAAATCACATTCAAAAATCTTTTTTAGTGTCGGAATCAAAATCAATCAAACAAATTGAAGCGAGACAATGTTATTTTATTCATAATTTAATGGAATGGATAATTGTCTACATCTGGAAATCACGTAAAAAATACTTTATTCCAAATCAAGCATACTGGTTTATTAATGCAAAAATTACAAAAGGCCACTTAGCCTTTTAAAAAGCCTGTCTGTCTTCGCATAACAAACTGATTTTTTTCTGGTGCAGTTCCTTAACCAACAATAAAGAAATGACAAATGCTTTTATCTTGCCTAAATTGACAAGTAAAATGATTCCACATGTGATATTAATGTACTCCTTTGTTTCAATAATTTTTCAGTTTTAAATATACAATGGAGACCACCAAAATTTATTTCATTTCTAAATTGAGAGGTACTCCTGTAAAACAGGAACTATTAATAAACATCACATTTCTCTTGACTTTATCAACAATCCCATTCTCATCCTGTGTTGCGTATGTATATCTCCAACTCAGCTCCAACGTAACTCACTTATCATCGAAATAATTGGGACGGTTTTAAAAAGTCTAATTTTTAGTAAGATAATTAAGGATTTAAATTGGATATAAATTAAATAAACCAAGTCATTGACACCTTATCTTCCCTTCCTCACCACAAGAATCGCCTATCTTTCACCATTAGAAAAACCAACCTGAAGTTAACTCTTTTTGTTGCTTCTCAGTTATTAGCCCAATTAACAACAACTCTGTCTAAGAGTTGATAATAATAATAATATGGTTACCTGTGGAGGCCTAAAACACTTCTTTGACAAACCATTCCCAGAAAATTCAACAATTCTTGATTCCACTTCTTCATGGAATCAGATTAAATCCATGAAACCTAATAAAGATTCATCCTTCACGGAGATTTTTGATGAATTACATTCTGTTTCATCGTTTTCTTCTAATAATCTCCCTCCATTGTCTACCACCTCCTCGTCCTCGTCATCATCATCATCGACATGTTCTTCTTATAATAACTCGTCATTTTCTTTCGAAGCAATTCACCAATCTGGGGTTGAAGGGAAAAACAGAGACCCCATTTATCCACCAAGCAGCCAGAAGAAACATTACAAGCATAGTGATAGCTTTTCTTCAAGAAATTCAGATTGTCTTTCAATATGTACAGAAAGCCTTGGATTTGAAAGCTGTGATGATGTTGAAGATATTATGAATGTATTGAGTATTGGGAATGATCAAGAACACGAAGAAATTAGATCAACGAACATTCATAATCAGGGGATTATAAGTCATGAATATACGAAAATTAGATCAAGAACAAATAAAGGGGCATTATTGCCTCCTCCAATTTCTTGCATTGGTAGAAATGGAAAGCCATGTGTTTGTTTTGAATCTTTTAGAGAAAATGGTAGGTTTATTCTCAAGGAGGTTAAAATTCCTGAATGGGAATTCTTGCATGCCTGTAGAGAAGATGGACGATTGAAGCTACATATTGTTCAGTCAGATGACGAATTCTTCGATGAAGATGAAGAATATGATGATGATGATTCAGAGGATGTTGAAGAAGATGAATCAAGTGAAGATGTAACAAATGATGATGATGAGAAAAGAGAAGTTGGAGAACCTTGCTAAAAACAATTTAGGAATTAAAGAATAAATATCATAAAAGCAGAGGTGAAGCCAATATTTAAAAACATACGAGTTCAGGACATTTCTAGTCCTTTTGAGTTAATTAGTTATATGTTTAATGAATATTTTAAGATAAATACAGTGTTCGGACCAAAGCATTTGGACGAACCTGAAACCGAAGCTCTAGCTCCGCTCCTGCACAAAGACAAAGGGGTGTTTGATTTTTTTATTTTTTTCGTAAAAAAGTTTAAAGCTACTCTTTTTCTCTCTCTTTAAAGTATGAAAATAAAGAGAAATCGGAAATGTAATTCTGAATTCCAGATTTAGATGATCATGTAAAGGTAGTAGCAAGAGAGTAGTAATGTTCATGAGGTAAATGTACCACATTTCTTTTACATTTCCCAGCAATAAGAAGAAACGAGGAATACTCGATTTCATACTCAAATAAAATTTGTATTCATCTGTAGCTTAGTATTTGCAATTATACCTTCACTTTTTTATATCCTATATTCGATTAGGATCATCGGTTCCAACTTACATTAGAAAATTTCACGTTAAAATAAAATATCTTCTATCAATGTGATAATATAACGTCTTTGTAATTTTATACTTCGCACTTAATGATATCTAAATATAAGCAATTTTAGAAATTTTATTACGGATTCACATAAATTCAATAGCTTTTGTTCATATTTTGTGTGTATAGTAAGAGATATATTCAATATTTGTAGAAGTCAATGCAGCTAAAGACGAAATAAAATCTATATTATAATTTATATGCATGGAATTTCATTATTTGGGTAGAACTTTTTATTTGATTGAAAGAGTTTTAGTCAAGTTATTTTTACTTTTTTGACCAAAAAAAGTATACGGTATATTACACCTAAAACAGAGATTCAAAAATTAACAAAAAATTATGGTAAAATCGATATGATATATTAAGAAAGGTTAGAAGAAATATTCCACCTAAAAGCTAAGTTGTCTAATTTTACTGGTTCAATTTAGGAATTCAAAAAATGATTTATTAATTTGTGTTTAATTTTATTTTTGTTATTAAATATTATTAATTTTAATATTTAAATAACTTCTATTTTTTAAAATTATAGTAAATCATCCTTCTAATTTTTAAATATTTCTAAAAGGATATAGAAAGTCAAAGATGGAGCAATATGATAATACATATTATATTATATACTCTAGTATTTATGAATCATATTAATGTTAGATTAGGAGTAATAAAGAGGGAATATATACTATACTTTTACTATTATTAAGAATATTCAGGATGCATGTAAATGGTCACGTAATTAGTGCGAAGGAATTTTTTTCGACAACACAAAAAGCAGCTCCACTACTTCCGTAGCCGTGTTTCCCTTTAACCCTATTTCGCCTCCGCAATTTCCCCATGGATTCAGGCGGCGGCGGACCCAATAATTCCCGGTACCAGCGAAAATTGCCGTCGTCCGATCGTCTCCTCGGCATTTTCTCCACCGCTCACTCACAATCCCAACCCTCTATATCCACCTCTGCTTCGACTTCCGCCGCCGAAGTTGAGCTCAGCGAGCACGACATTTTTGACGCATCCTCCGATGCAATTCAACACTCCACTCCTTCAACTTCAACTAGCCCGAACGCTAATTATCATCGGTCCCCTAACCATCTCTCCCACCACAAACATTTCGGTATCCTAGCCGCGTTGCCAGAGTCTGAGTCCCACGCGCAGGCTTTGCTCTCCGTTTCGTCATCCTCCTCGTCTTCCTCCACGTCGTCGGCTCGTTTGATTCCTACAATTCCTAAACGGCCGCCGCCAGTGGATCGGGTTAAATATCTCCAGTCCGCACCGGTGAATGTTCCTGTAATGTCAGCAGCAGCGCGCCGAAGAGGCAGGCATTTCGATGATGTTGATGATGATGTGGACGGTGGTGAGATGTTACCACCGCATGAAATTGTTGCGTCGAGAAAGACACCAATTTTGGCATCCTCTGTGGTTGAGGGAGCCGGGAGGAAGTTGAAAGGGAGGGATTTGAGGCAGGTCCGAGATGCTATTTTGCAGAAGACAGGTTTTCTTACCTGACTTTTCTAGTAAATTTGAGATAATTGTTAGGTTTCTTCTTGAATTTGTATCAGTATCAGGGCTGATTGATAGCTATGATTAGAAAGTATCCGCAGTAATAAGTTACATTGTCATCTTTCATCACCAACTTGGCCTGTTGTCAATTAAATGAGCATGCCTTATGGAGAAACACATTATTTAATTATCATCCCGGTCATTGGCATTAGCAATACCGGTAGCAAATCCAAGAAGATTGTCTTTGTCAGCTGGAAGTGAAAGCTTTCCAATTGCAATTTCCAGGCTTATAGGTCTAAATTAGGAGGGTGCTTGGTGCCTGTCCTCTAATATGTAAGGGCCCAAAGTTGAGATGGGGCTAATCAAAGCAAATTATATTAGATAGATTGAATAGGAAAGAAAAGAAAAGCAGGGATGGCATTTGCAGTCAGCAGCCTCTGTTTCTCCTTCTAACTAAAAGCAAAGTGCCAGCATTAAATAAAAAGTTCTTCTTGTTTGAGCTATTGTGAGCGCGAAAAGCCTGTCGGCTGTTTCTGTCGCATAAAGGTTGTTACCTAATACTCCCTTCGTTTCACAAAGAATGACCTCCTTTCCTTTTTAGTCAGTTTAAAAAAGAATGACCTCTTTTCTTTTTGGTAACATTTTACTTTTTGCTTTCCACGTGGTATGTTTAAGACCACAAGATTAAGGGCAATTTTGTACATTTGACATAACTTTAATTTAGGACCACAAGATTCAAAAGTCTTCTTTATTTACTTAAACTCCGTGCCAAGTCAAACCAGGTCATTCTTTGTGAAACGGAGGGAGTAGTTGTTAAATTAAATATATGTGAATTGTACTAAAATATTATTAAACTTTGTGGTGTTCAGCATGTAATGTGAAATGTCGAAATTAAGGAGTTGCTAAAAAAATGAATTTAGAGACATTGAAAAAAGTGGTGTAAGTAAGAGCATGAAGAGAGAGAGAGAAGCATGCATAAAAAGTTTTGTTGATGAGGAGATCATGCAATTGTTGCTAAAAGGGAGCCAAATTACATGCATTTGATGCCTATAATATTGTGGCATGTCCAAAGTGCATTCATTACATCCGTCTTGTGTTTATGAAATGGGGCGTCCTCCTTGTTGTGACAAAGCAAATGTGAAAAGAGGGCCTTGGACTGCTGAGGAAGATGCAAAAATCCTTGCTTATGTAGCCACTCATGGAATTGGCAACTGGACCTTGGTCCCTCAAAAAGCAGGTATATATCAGTAGCTAATACTAATCAACTATCTCAAAATTGCAATTCTAACATCATTCATGTGCAGGTCTGAATAGGTGTGGAAAAAGCTGTAGGCTGAGATGGACCAATTATCTGCGTCCTGATCTTAAGCATGACAACTTCACACCTCAAGAAGAAGACTGCATCCTTGATTTTTCTCTTTGGTAGCTATCACTTTAAGGTGTGTGCATGGGCACATCTAGGTAGAAGCAAAGAGGTTCTTTTATTCGAAAAAAGCTCAGCTCTGTGTTAAACGGATTCAATTCCTGTTAACCACAGTTTCTAATCTTTTTAGCTTTAGGCGTTTTTTAAATATTCTTTACACCCCTTCGGCAAAAATCTTTCCTCCACCGCTGGGTGTGTGCATATTTCTCAAATGCTCTACAGTTAAAAGTGCTGGTCTCATTAATAATCTTAAAATCACCTTATTTGGTGAACCTTGTTGAGTCAAACTTGTAATATTTATTGGAAGGCCTATGAATGTGACAAGGAGAATGAACAGTATTATCGCTGAGGCATTGTTTCTACTTTCTACACTAGAAATCAACAGGGGAGAGAGTGGAGAGACTGTATCTAAGTGTGCTTTGTTTCTTGGTATTTGCGCTCGAGTCGTTACTAAATTTTGGTTGAAATGGAGAGGAAGTTCCTTTGACATATCAAGATTTGTAGGAGAAAAAATAATCACTGGTATAGTTCTTCTCTCTTCCACTGTATAGACATCCTCTGGGTACTATAATTTCTGATTTGCACTATTACTAGCAGTCCATTGCCAGAAATATTCCAGATCTTCAACATCTGCTTTCTGTGAAGTGCTATTGTCCCTCCAACTTCCTCCTATATTCCCCATCTTATTCCATCTCAAACTTTTGTAATGGCAAGTATTCTTGTGCTGTGCTTCTCACGCTATGATTCTACTGGTCAAATTCAAATTTAGCAACTACTTATCAAATCCAATGTGGTGGAAAAATTCATGTTGGATAAGTAAAAGGTTAGATTTTCTGAAGATGCAATATGTACTTGTTGTAGATGACCTTTGGTTAGTCAAGGCGGTGTGCTTCAACAAATATTTCGGATATATTAAAAAGAAAAGCAGCACATCAAATTTGTTACAAATATAATAGTCCTTGTAGCAATGTCCAGCATTATTATATATTAGTCCATGTACATGACTGCTTAGTCTAGTCTAATAAAAGTTTCTGGACAAGGGTGACAATTTTGATATTTGAAGAGATAAGAACTCCATAGTAACCATATTAGAAGACAAAGTCTGTGGGTTTAGTAGTGAAAAAGCTCAGGATAAGTGTAAGATCTTGGGGATAGAGAAACTAGGGAGCTCAACAAACTTGCTTCTCTTTAGTCCTAACTATGTGATGTAAACTTGCTACTCCATCAGTCCTAACTATATAATATAACCTTGCTCCTCCTTCAATCCTAACTATGTGACGTACTTCAGCATTGGAGTCTCCGATCAGTTTTTGGTTCTTCATGAAAATGATTCAGTTATCTTTGCATATGGAGAATATATCTAATTTGAAAGATGTTAAAAGTAGTATATTGAAAGGCGAGTATAAGGTGCTCCTTGGGGAGTCGTGATGAAAGGTGCATTAACTTGCCTCAAGGTGTGTGTGTGTGATGGGCGCACACTTTGGGGTTGGTTGGATGCCTGGATTTCCTGCATTCCTGGCAGCATGTTATGCCCCCAACAGTGAAGGGAAATTATGTAAGCCTTCAATTTTCAAAACCTCTCTTTGTGGTTTGTTTACCCGGTATGCTTCTACGTATATCTGATAAAGTTAAGAAGCTCACTGTTATTACCTTTCAAATTCACTCTCTTCAATGACCCTCTTCCCTCCCTGCCCCAAAAGAAAAAAGAAAGAGAACATCTTGAGTGGGTTGAGCTATTCCCCCGTCTTCTCGACCCATTGGAGGAAAGACCAGCCTAAAGTCCAAGATTCTCGCAAAATTGTTAATCAAATTTTTGTAGGTCATTTTTTCTTCGTGAACTTTAAAAATATTTCTAGGTGCATTAATAAAGCTGGATCATAAATGATTTATCAGTTCGCATTCCTTCATTAATGCGATTTTAGTATTTTTTTTTTGGAGACCTTTCACATATAGCCACTCAAAAATAGCTTAATTACTATCCATAGCTATAGTTTGATAATTACAATTCGTAGGTACATGTTATATGGAGGAGAGAGGCGAGAGAGAAGGGGCAAAGAGTGGGAGAAAGGTGAATTGTATATGTATATAGGTTAGATAATTGTATATTATACATATGTATTTGTATATATGGCAAGCGAGATTGGGAGAGGGAGGAGAGAGGCGAGCGAGAGAGGACAGAGAGTGGGAGAGAGGTGAATTGTATATGTATATAGGTTAGATAATTGTATATTATACATATGTATTTGTATATTCTGGCGAATTATACATATACAAACGTGGCAAATTATACAAACTCAAAGTCAGCCCGCGTAATTAATGTATAATGTTAGTCGTGAGTGGTAATTATAGCAAAACTATAACTATGATGAGTAATTAAGTAGTAAAAGTTTGCTTAACCGCTTAATTTTCCCTATTTTTTTAAAAATGCTTTAGAGGGTAACTAGTTTGACTGCTCTAAACGTTGGACATGAGTTAGTAGGAAATGGAATATAATTGAAAAAAGAAATGACCATAAAGTTAGCTAGGTTGATGTTAGGGTATTATAGTTTTGGGTTGTCAGCATGTTGTTAATTTGGCTAAAGGTATTTTTACGTTTTCTGACCCTGAATGTCTTGTAAAATGCCTACCCCCCGCCTTGTGTAAAATACGTTGCCTCGCACAGCTACCTTGTAAAATTAATCTTCTTACAAAGGTATTCATGAGGTGAGATGTAAATGATGAGAGGCAGTTCAAAATTCAGATAAACGTCCTTGTATAGAAATAGGAGTAAATGGTATTTTAAATATGGTTCTTCAAGGTTTCATTGTACGTATCTGCGGAGGTGAAATAAAAGTTAGTAATTCTTACTCTCCTCCTACATTAATTCAAGGTGTCAGATCAACCACCCTTCTGGTTGGGAGTTTAGATACCTGCAGCTGTCATCAACCACATGTTTCAATCTTATCCAAAAACGAACGTATCTACTAGTTTCAGTTACACAATCCACCAACAACGCACACACAAGTTTTTCCCTATGTTGGAACAAAAGTGTCTAGTAGGAACACTCTGGGTGTGTTTGGTATGAACTATGAAGGAAAATGTTTTCCATAAAAAAAATTGATTTTTGACTTATTTTCTCATGTTTGGTTGGTGAGTAGAAAAGATTTTTAGTGTTTGATTTATGAATGAATTTTTTTTTTGAGAAATATCTTTTATTGTTACTAGAGTAGAAAATAATTTTTGAAATTGAAAATATTTTTTAAAAACAAATTTAAATTTTTTTTGGAGGGGGGGCTGGTAGGGGGTGG